GTCAGTGTGGAACTCTGACGATCGAGCTAAGGGTGGACCCTGGAGATAGGTCTTTGTCAGCGACCATTGATTGGTTTTGTCCCTGAACTTGTAAGTTTAGCTGAGCCAATAGGGTAATGATGCATCAGAGTGGGTGGGGAGTGTGAGTAAACCCCAGGGCTGTATAGATGTGACGGTGCTGTTGCTTCTTGTGAACAGTCGTCACAGCTGATACTTAATCTATAGCATATGTGATGGTGGTTATGTATCCAATAATCAATTTACGATTTCCACGCGAATCGATAAGCATTGGCTTTGTACCCTACCCGCATAGTAGATAGACTTACTGGGTAAGGTTCAAGCGAGACTGACGTGAAGATCCTCCACGAGCGTATTAAGAGGCTCTGGAATATGCTGATGACAAACGTGGGAGTTCGGGAGACCAGAAGTCGCAGTGTTCAGCCTCAACCCTATAGCGATGGAGAGCAGCTACAACTGCCACCAAGGATGAGATACACGAACTTCTGAACAGACGGAAGCTCAGACAAAAGTTTCGAGGTATGATTTACTCGATGCCCCTGTCAAAGGTAGTAGCAGACTTGCGATTAACACCTCATACAAGACGAATCGCATGATGGCCATTGTAAATCGGATTCACCCGACGAACTCGCCAATAGCTCTGTATCAAACGAACAAGCAGCTCAATGGCCTAAAGTTCAACCATGTACTCCGTAATAAGTATACAAGGAGGCTGAAGAGGAAACATACGATGAATATCCGCAGTGCTGTCCCGAATATCAGGCTAGGGCCCGCTTAGATCTACGACGGAAGACGCGGAACAAGGCGAAGGCGGTAAACGTTATAAACGCCAGGGCTGTCTATTGCGTACATACGATTACGATCAAGGCTAGTGGAGCTTCAATTCAAAGACAAGCGAACAAGCAAGACATTGCGGTAGTTGGCCTAGTGTTTGTTATGGTTGGTGTAAGTCAGCCAAAGGTCACGAGTCCAAGGTATGTCTATTGCAAGACCAAGTAACATGGCTCTGGTATAGATAGTAGATTGAGATACCTAATGGTTGTACGTAGTAAAAAGTTATGTCAAGTTGTCACTCCGGGTAAATGATGATACCTACACAAATACTACGAAATGCAAAGAAAGTGGTCTGCTGTTCCAGTTCCTGTTCCAGAAAGCAAATGCGACAGGCCAACAGTAGACCCTTTACGGGATCGGCGGGGCTTCGAGGTTCGGAGACTAAACTAAGGTAGGAAGCTTGGTGGTGAAAGTGTTGAGTCGGGCATAGAAATTAGCACCCATTAAAAGGAATTTGATGTCAAGACCCAGTGAAAAAAAAAGGGAAAGGAAATTGTCATGGAAGCATGCAATTTTTCTTTTGCACCTCTTCATCTTGATATGCAGATCTGGAAAGGCCCAATTAATGAATTGTTGGTCTATATGTGTTCATTGAGCTTACATACAGATTTATCCTCCTGGCAACCCAAGGAAACGGTCGCTATTGAAGTCTTCTAAGAATGATTGTGTTAAATTGGGAGGGCGTATCTTTAGACATGTGGCATACAGCCGACCCCCCACCAACAAAGTCAACCACGCTGCACCTCCAACTCGCATCTAATTTGTCTCTCCTCTCACGCCCTGGTCAACAACATCTTTTTGGGGCACAATGCCATAAGGTAACAAAGATTGCAATAGGAACAAAAAGTAGATTATGATAATCAGAAAGCTGTGACTAACATTCCTGCCAGCCATTGGCTTGTTCAATGCAGAGATGGTCTAGCAGTGTATCTTTCACTTTCATCTCTTTAAATCTCCGCCCTTAGCGATTTCGCTCCCGTTAATCGTTCACACCCGGGCTGTTCCTTGCCCTTGTTCTGTTCGTACCTTGACCTTGAGACCCCAGGGCCCTCTTTTTATTTTTTCTGTCTGCCCATTCCCTGTCAGTGACAAGCCAAGCACCGATTTCATTGATTGACTGACATACGCGGAACGGACTCTGGTTGACGGGAGGCGCCTGCACCTTCCACAGCCAACGGCGCAGACGGGAAGACTGGGCAATTACTAACCTTGGGAAGGTACCTACCTCCTGTATCTGGAAAGAAACACAACCTCCACTTCTCCTACTTTACTTCTCCCTCTCCCCTACCTTCCGTCTCTATCCCTTTCCTCCCCTTCATCCTCATCCTGCTCCTCAGTCGCAAGGAGTACCACTGGTTGTGAGAGACTCAACAACCAGACACAATAATCTCGCTTGATTGTGAGCTCCAACTCGACTTGCGGCGCGGTTCATCCCAACGACTGGACTGATTCGATTCCTTACCGTCACATATCACCACCCTCAACAAAATGGAGGCCGTCAACGCTACGTCCAGCGGCTTCTCGTCCGTTCTGGCCGGCACCAAATACGCCAATGTTGCTCTTCCTCCTCAGGTCGAATATGTTATCGAAGCTGTTTCGAATGCCGGCGTCTGGACTTGGGTATTCACTTTCATCGCTCTTTGCGTTGCGTATGATCAGAGTATGTTATTCAGTCACCAGGTAATACAAGGCGCATTACTAAACAGAGCTCTCAAACAGTTGCCTACATCATCAGGAAAGGTCCTATTGAGGGCCCGGCTATGAAACTTCCCTTCATCGGCCCATTCCTCGACTCTATGGATCCTCGATTCGATGGTTATCATGCTAAGTGGAGCAGCGGCCCCCTGAGCTGTGTTTCTATCTTCCACAAGTAAGTACTGAACGAGCGATTCAACATGGCGGAACGGCCATATTGACCTTGAGTTGCTAGGTTCGTCGTTATTGCCTCCACTCGTGACATGGCTCGCAAGGTCTTTAACTCACCCGCCTATGTCAAGCCCACTGTTGTCGACGTTGCTCCTAAGCTTCTTGGACACGACAACTGGGTGTTCCTCGACGGAAAGGCTCACGTTGATTTCCGCAAGGGCCTTAACGGTCTCTTCACCCGCAAGGCCCTGGAGAGCTATCTGCCTGGCCAGGAGGAGGCTTACAACACTTACTTCAAGCATTTCCTCAAGATGACCAAGGATGCCGGCGGCAAGCCTGTCCCTTTCATGCACGAGTTCCGCGAGGTCATGTGCGCTGTCTCTTGCCGCACCTTTGTTGGTCACTACATCTCCGACGAGGCTGTCACGAAGATCGCCGAGGATTACTATCTCATCACTGCTGCTCTCGAGCTTGTCAATCTTCCCGTTATCCTTCCTTATACCAAGTCTTGGTATGGCAAGAAGGCCGCTGATATGGTTCTGGCCGAATTTTCTAAGTGTGCCGCCAAGAGCAAGGTTCGCATGGCCGCTGGTGGTGAAGTTACCTGCATCATGGACGCCTGGGTTTTGTCAATGATCCAGTCTGAGCGCTGGCGTGAGGCCGAGGAGAAGGGCGAGGGACACACCGTCGAGAAGCCCACTCCTCTTCTCCGCATGTTCAACGATTACGAAATCTCTCAGACCATCTTTACCTTCCTCTTCGCTTCTCAGGATGCCACCAGCAGCGCCGCTACTTGGCTCTTCCAGGCTACCGCCCAGCGACCTGATGTCCTCGACCGTGTCCGAGAGGAGAACATCAAGGTCCGCAACGGTGACCCTAACGCGCCTATCACCATGGATCAGCTCGAATCTCTTACCTACACCCGCGCTGTTGTCCGAGAGCTTCTTCGATGGCGCCCTCCTGTCATCATGGTTCCCTACGTCACCAAGAAGGCCTTCCCCCTGACCGAGAACTACACCGTTCCCAAGGGTAAGTTGAGAAACTTCCAATCGCATTTTTGATCGCCGTTATACTGACTCGAATCCTCAATAGGCTCAATGTTGATCCCCACCACTTTCATGGCTCTCCACGATCCTGAAGTCTATGACAACCCTAGCCACTTCGACCCCGAACGATACTACAGCGGCGATGCTGAGGAGAAGGGTTCCAAGAACTACTTAGTTTTTGGTACTGGACCTCACTACTGCCTTGGACAGGTGTACGCTCAGCTGAACCTGGCTCTCATGATCGGAAAGGCTTCAGTCATGCTTGACTGGAAGCACCACGCAACCCCTAAGTCTGAGGAGATCAAGGTCTTTGCTACTATTTTCCCAATGGTACGTACTTGTTACAGGGCAATAAAATGCAATAATGACTGACTTTGAAATAGGACGACTGCCCCCTCACCTTCGAGGAGAGGAAGTGGTAAACGGTACGGAGGAACTTGGTCGACACTAGGTTAAATGCAGACCGTTCGACACGATTCGGGCATCCCTGATGCACAGGGCAGTGCGGTTGCAGCCCAAGTGTGTCTGATGAGGGAGGCCGAAAGAATGATCGAGGAAGATGGCTGTGAATGGCCTAAGCTTCCAATGAAGATAAAACAAGAGATCAACTGTTGGCATATGATAAGCTACAGGAAACTTCTCTGGAGATGAAGCTTGAAGAGCCGGCAAAACAGCCCAATATGGATGGAAAGGACAATCATGATGGATAACAGTTTTAATACCTATTCTCGGTGTATATAATTGGCTGCCCGAGGGCATTTGGGACCGCAAGGTCATAGAGATGATTGCCATGATTGGAAGTGGCATTTGGACAGCGAATAGCAAAAGATTTCCAAAACAGAACAGATGACCGAGTTGGGTGAAGTGACTTGATGTTGGCTATAACTTAGGTCAGCATGAGAGGGATTCATGATGGCCATCCTATATGCGTGTTAAAAGTTAGTTTTGATGTAACAGCCATCACTTTGAGGGTTTGAATAGTAAGGCCGCGTCTTGTTGATTTTTCAGTATCGGTTCCTTGATTTAATTAGTTAGTAGTGATTCCGAAGCGTCTGTTTATTCATTACTTCTGTAACATCATGGCATTCATTTGATCGTGTCTTGCATCACCCTGGCCCCAGCTTCTTAGTCAGTCGCCTTAGCTCGGTATAGTCCACGATTCGCCGTCTTGAACCTCAATTCACATTTCCCATCTCGATATTTTCTAGGGAGTAAACGTCTCTACCTTAATAAAGAATGGCGTCTCGTCGCGCTCTCTTCTCGTCAGCCTTGCGCGCATCCGCTGCCATCCAACCTGCGCGACCAATCTTTATAATTGCAGCACGCTCGATAAGCCCCTCGCTACCGTCCCGAGCTTTTGCGCCCTTTCCATCTACTAAAAGCTATGCTACCAAAGCCCAAACCAAAACAAAATCGATAGACGACAATGCCCCGCCGGACCCCAAACCATGGAGCTTTGAAGATATAAAGAACCATGTTGAGAAATCTGACCCGGGCAATGTAATCCTCATCGGTACGTTCACCTCTACGCATGCTGGGAACTCGGGTTAACAAGCGCAACAGACGTCCGAGAACCAGTCGAGCTTTTCGAGACGGGCAAGATCCCCGGTGCGATCAACATTCCTATCACATCGGCAGCCCAGAGCTTCCATATTTCTGACGAGGATTTTGAGGACATGTACGGCTTCCAGAGACCAGCAAAGAACAAGGAGCTTGTGTTTTATTGCAAAGCAGGAGTGCGTGCGAGGGCGGCTGCGCAACTGGCTCATTATGCTGGCTGGGACAAGATCGGCGACTATGCGGGCAGCTGGCTGGATTGGGAAGCCCAGAAAGGACCAGTTGAGAAGGTTAAGAAACGATATTGAACAGACAGAGCTTGCTGAAAGGCAGACATTCATTGTCAGAATGATTGGTCAAATAAATGCGCCTTCTAACTTTATTGTACAAACAATTCCCAAAGATCTGCTTCCCCAGAGACTCCTTTCGGCTATACCCCAACTGCAATTGAGGCCTAGGAATACACATTCTCTTTACGCGTCATTCAGTTCCTTACTTCTATCTCTTGGTTCTAATCGATTTGCCACCACCACTTAGAACATGCGGCTATCTTTACCCTGGTCCGGTTTGCTGGCCACGGGGCTACCGTGAGCAAAGAAAAGGATCTTGATCGCAAGAGCCAGACCAGCGTGTAGCAGTACCACAACGACAAGCAGGACCTTGCTGACCTGGCGATCTGTGGCGCTAAGCACGGGGTAAAGGTTTCGCAGCAAGAACGCAACCGAGATTCCGAAACCAACACCGACAAAGACCCAGTTGAGTATGGAGATAGGTGACGAGCTGATAAGGGCAACGGGGACCCAGATCAGGTTGGAGTAGCCGTACAGAGCCCAACACTCGAGGAGATTGGCAGATTCGCTGCCGAAGTAACGGAGGGCGAGGAAGAGAGCCATAGGAATGAAGAGAGTATAGCCATAGATGAGGCCAGCGGCGCCTGTTTGTCATGTGAGTGCGTAAATCCCAGCCAATATCACATGAGACATACCACTTAGTAGCTTGAAGTCATAGAGGAATGGCCCCTTGCCGGTATCCGACATATACTGGCTGATAGTGCCGCCCAGGAAAAGGATCAAAATGACCGTCGTGGCGATCCAGAAGGGTCCGTAAAGATCAGGGTTGCCCTCAAGAACGTCGAGGAAGTTGGCCCTGGGAAACAGTGCAGCCCAGCATCGGGACAGAACAGCTGAAGTATCGACATCGAAGAATTGCGCATAAAAGTTCATGCTCCACAGGAAGCGCTTGGATGAGCCGGAGCCGGTCGAGGCCGTTGCAGGTGGAGGAAGACCACCGCCACTGGAGGGAGGTTTGCGGGTGTTGGGGTTTGTATCATTGAAGTTGGACGTATGGAACTCGAGGTCTTCTTGAAGATCGGTATGTCCGAGGTCGCCCTGAGCATCATATCAGTTTAGTCAAAGAGACATTGTGTCAAGATGTTGGGGACCGCAGCTTTGAGCTTGTAAGGATAGCTAGCTAGAGGGGCCATGACATACCTCATCGTCAACATCGACGACGGCGTCGTAGCCGGAACCAGACATGGTGAAGTTGTGTAGATAGCTCTGAAAGGACAAAAAGAACGGCTCGTTTGCAGTTGATGAATGGGTTTGGTGAAAACGAACAGCAGTGACAAAGTCACAAGGGAGAGTAAAGTTGCGGTGCTCCTACTGGTCGCTGTCAGCTTCTAATTGGGACAGTTTGGCAGTTGTCGTAATTCAGGAGCACGCGCACCGTGTCAAGCGCAGAACCGAGGATTAACCGGCGCTTCATGATTGTCGGCTTTAGTCCTATCGAGATTCGAGCTCAGGGAGGATTATCAGTGGGTGTGAAACAACCCTGTAAGCCATCGCAATGGATATTTAGTGAATTGGAGAAGCGCTGCATTTCATGGCAAAGTTAACAGAGGAATGCTCCGTAGGTTGAGAATCAATTTTCAGGAGCCTTGCAAGCTAATAGTTGTATCGCTAACATCATAGCTGACCCCAAGATTGCCCACAGTCGCTCATTTCTATGCACATAACCATTTCGAAGCGTGAATGCTTTTATTTCTTTTGAAGGGGTCTGGCCGGAACACCTCGCGGCACGGCACATCGTCAATATGGGCATCATCTAGAATGTATTGCCTGAGCTGCACATGCTAATGTAAAAACAACCAGCCTCGTATGAACAAAAGAAAAGAAGCTCTCCTCTGTCCTTGCCATCGACCCCCAAATGCCAAATCCCAGACGCCACATCCATGGAGTAATCGTTTATTTGAGCTTCTTCTTGGGTCGGAGCTGGTTGGTGTGTCCACACTTGCGCTTGCGGCAGTTGGTGGCACGGGGAGGGAGACGAGCCTGTTGATGCTTGTTAGAATCCGGTGCGATGCACACGGCAGGGTCGACGTACGTAGCACTTGCGGCAGATCATCTTGTCGCAGTTGAACTTGGAGGCAAGGGCCTTGAGCGAGGGCTCAATGATACCACCACGGAGACGGAGGACGAGGTGAAGGGTGGACTCCTGTACAAGGCGTAAGTTTATGTTCCCAGCATTTCCCAATAATCTTCCTGCGAATGCAATCGCAACCGCATTTCAAATCCCAGCACGCACCTTCTGGATGTTGTAGTCGGAGAGAGTTCGGCCATCCTCGAGCTGCTTACCAGCGAAAATCAGTCGCTGTTGGTCAGGGGGGATGCCCTCCTTGTCCTGGATCTTGGACTTGACATTGTCGATGGTGTCCGAGGACTCGACCTCGAGGGTGATGGTCTTGCCCGTCAGGGTCTTCACGAAACTGGGCGGTTCTGTTAGTACGCAACGGAAAGAGGCTATTTTGGTCGATTTTTCACAATCGGTGGGCTCGAGCTTACATCTGCACTACATGGAGAGTCAGTATTTACGCCTATTGAAGTTATTTGCGGCTTTAGTTAGGGGTATACTCACTCTTTACTGATTTTTGTGACGTGACGATGTGAGGATTGGAAAGCCGGGCTTCGTTCTGCGCGCAATATTGGTGGGGCGAACAAGTTCAAAAAGGAAGGAAAGCCCTAAGGTTGGAACTGATCACGTGCTGGCTCCTGCCCACCAGAAACGTTTCCTGTGAGGCGAAGGGGGGAGTGGATCCAACACCTTACATGTACTTTAGTTACCCATATTATCATGCCCTGATTTACGTAGAAGCTTAAGGGTATTAGATGTAAGTCATATATGGCATCATTCATTATCGGCCATGTTATTGATATAATCATATAACTTCCTCTTCATGCCCTTCTTCTCGGCGTCTCTTCAATTGCCATGAGATCATCTTCTGCTCCAACATGTAGACTGCTTGCACTATTTCATCAAGCGAAAGGCCTGATATGTGACCTTGACGATTGATTAGCTCGAGAGATTATATGAAAAGGGCGTGATAACTTACCAGCAGCTTTGTACAATGCCTGCGCTGTCTCTGTAAGGTCCTCAACCGAACGGAACGTTTCATAACTTGGTTCTGCCAGTGTTTCCCCGTCTTGTTCTGACCCCTCTTCCCCTTTTACTGTAATTGCTTGACCAAGGATCTTCCGCATCTTGTGGTCATTATTTTGTTCAGTGTTTTCTCTTGTAGGAGCCTCTGGAGGAGGAGCCTTCTCTGATGGAAAGAACCTGGTGATTTCCGAATCATCTTTTATTTATTAGTATTGTTTTGATGCGCTGACATAAACTCACTCTTCCTGTCGATGGTGCTCGCAATATGAGCAAAGTACTGGTCAAGCTCTTCTGTCGTCATTGAAGTAACTTGGTCAGCGGTAGCTTGATCGAAGCTGGGCTCCTTCCCAGGTGTTTGAGATGCTTCTGTTAATTCTTGGGCGCCTTTGAGCCATATTATCCAGTCGAACTTGATACTCTGCTCTGTGGTAGCGGCGCGAAGAAAAGGGGCGTGTTGTCCTAACGGAAAGCACAGCTTTGCTGCAACCACAATAGCTGACATGAGCAAGATCTCGGGATAGTCTATATGAAATCGCCGTGACTGCTCCATGGGCAACTGAAAAGAGAAATTCATCACCGATAGTATGCTTCTTGCTGTGATGAGCGTTTCCACTAGAACAGTCAGCCAATACAGGAGGGGTATGCCTCTTGAGAGCACTTGCCTGGTAAAGTGAGTTGCCTGACAAAGTGCACAATGGTTGGTGTATCACTGATAGCTGGGAAAATCATTCCATAGTTGTGATGATATGAGAGTGCGAGATCTAGCACAGCATTGTGCATGTCGATGCCTCTGAGAGACGAGCGCAGGGGTAATTTGAGGGCCCTAGTATAAGCAGATGGCAGTCGATCTTGCATTTCTTCGGGAAGATCGTAGTACTGATATATGTTAGCTGAGATGATAAGCTCTTCAAGGCTGACTTACAGATCGTTTATAAGGCATTCGTCTTGAATTGGCCCAGGCGCAAAGCTCCCCAATCGTGGTAGGTATCCTGAGCAACAAGCATCCAAGATAGCACAAGGCCAGGGTTTCAATCATTCTCGGCACAGGCCAATCTGGGTTGTCCTCTGGATTCCAGCTACGAGCTCTTATGCCCTGCATCTTTGGCGTATCATCTTTTTCTGTGCCTGTAGGCTGCGAACTGAATGTCGCAAGGCCATCGCCCGTTTGTTGTGTTTCCTCCTCAGCCAGGAGAGCCCCAGAGCCTCGAATACGAAGATCCCACAGATCGCGCACGACAGTCTCAAGCTCTTCTCGATGACCTTTGCTCTGAACGAGCCAAAGGAGCTGCCGCCTCAGCACTAGTTGTAGACACTCGAGAAATAGATTCTTGCCTGCTTGCCCTGTGAGGTGGCGTAGCTCTTTTTCCTTGACCTCCTTGTCTTTCTTTGTCTTTTTACCAAGCTGACCAGCATCGACATCATCACCAATGTCGAATTGAATGAATCCCTAATATGATTTTCAGTCCAGAGTCTTCGAGGGTGTAATGTAAGACACACACCTCAACCTGATGTCCGTTGGAGCAGAAGCGCAGACCATTCTCCAAATACCATCTTCGAGCACCACATTCTGGACATCTCTCCCCACGAGGAAACTTGCGAAGATCTCGCCTCTCATCCATAATCCGCACTGATTATGGCATTTCGTATTTGCTTCCGTTGTTGTCTTTGCTACTAGCCTGCAAGCTCCGTTCTTATGGGTTTGCGACGGTCTAAAAAAAAGTGGTTGGAGCTAAAAATACATCTGTAGGTACTTTGCCCATGTGTATGTGTCGGATCCTGTAGTGCACTTTGTAGCGAGCAAAATCATGGTATTGTATGCACAATTATAGCTGTATAGTCATCCAAATCGAATTATCTGTTACTTCAACTCACAGGGTTGCGGTGTCTGGGTCGTGTAACAATAAATGTAGGTTTGTACTATAGGTCCCAACATATGTTCGTCCATACAATACCTTACTGTCTCGTCCTACACAATGCATTCGTATTAAGCAGATGTTACCGCAGTGCCCAAGGACTTGACAGAATTCACGTCACTCAATATCAATAAGTCTTAATCAACTCCAAAGCTCTCCCATTTTTTTCTTCATAAAATTGCCGCTACGTATCGTGACATGATGGCATGTGCAGCGTGTGAGCTAGGAACAAAGGAAAACATTTTGTGAGCCCGAAGCCCGGGTGCTCAGAATTGCCGTATATCATAACTGGCAGGCAATCCTGTCCAGATAGAGTCCTTCTGCGCAATGCCCAATCCATGGCCCATGAGTATTGATGCGCCAAACATTCATCAAAACAAAAATCCCCAGCCCAGATCATCTTTCAATGCGGAGCTCAGAGGCCAAGTGCCATTTAAAAGAGGGTGCGGATCAAAGGTTAGGCGATCTAACCCTGGTTGGGGGCCTCCTTGGCTTCCATAGCGCACTCCTCGCCCATGGAGGTGAGAACGATAACGTCTGAGAGGCATGGTTAGGCAATTCGTCGAATAAAGACTACAAAAGCAACTTACTGGTGTCCTTCTCCTCCTCCTTGAAGAGCTTGGTGATCTTCTGGCCAACCTCGTTGTCGGGAAGAGGAACATCGTCCTTGGTGTCACCGTCATCGGTCATGAGAGAGAGGAAACCGTCGTCGGAGATGTCGAGCTTGAATGCATGTTAGTTGAGCTGGTGGCGGAAATGACCGGGGGTCTGCTCTTCTGAGGAGAGGGGTTGTTCCTCTGTGGAGCGGGGCAAGGGTTCACACACCAGCTGGTACTCGCGACGAGAGACGTTGGGGACGTCCATGTTGTGAGTAGAGGGAGAAAGATCCTCGTACTTCTTGCCAGTGAAGATGTCGGTAGCAACGAGATGGACCTTGGCGTGACCGTGCTTTCCGGTCTTGGAGGTGGACATGTCGACGATCTTGCAAGGGCGGTTCTTGATCACGACGAAACCGTTCTTACGCAGAGCAGAGCACTGCATAGGGTAGGTAAGAGAGGCACCGGCATCGGCCGAATCGAAGGTCATCTCATGCTGTACCAGGTGAAAAGGAGCAATTAGCAAAATTCTTGATAGATAGGAACATAATATGATGGTGATGGCTATTTTGATGGCTTGTGAAGCTCGATTCAATAATTCAAATGGCAGTATTGTATCGTGGGGCATAGGTCATAATGCGGGGTGTCAATCTCCAGGCGAAAAATGGGCGCAAGGGCAGATTTCGTGGGCGCGTGCGCCTGGGACTCGACAGAAGCAGCAGCAGCAGGAGCAAGTAAACTCACCTCAGCATCGTTGGGGGCGGCCATTTTGACGGTATTGACAAGAAGTCGAGTTCTTTGAGGAGAAAGGAGTGAGGTTGAGGAGGAGAGGAGAAAAAAAGCTGAGAGTGGTGCTTAATAGTGGGATGGAGAAGAGAAGAAGGAGGAGAGGGCCAAACTCGGAAAAAAGAGATGGAGGGGGCAAAGAAAAAGGTGCGAGGCCCTCGACAAGTTTTTTTTCTCAAGTCTTTGATTGGTGTAAATGGGCGAAGCAGTGGACACTATTTTCAGGCGGTAGTTTTCACTTTCATAGGTCCTGTGGATGGACGGACGCTGCCGGTGGATATGGTAGACCAGCTATGCCCAGCTGGCACAGGTAGAAATTAATGAGCACATGCGGTTCTAGCTCTCGTGAAGCCTGTAAGCACTCCAAGGCGTTCCAGCCTTTGTACTTCTTTCCAGAGGCCCAGAGGGGGGCCGGTCCATCAAGATGGACCCTCGACATTGCCCCTCGCTCGTGAGCTAGAGGCTAGGTAGGTACTGTACCTACTCGACCCCTCCCTCTCCCAGAGCTGTATTGTACCATACCAGTGGAGGGGTTATTGCTTACAGGGCCTCGAGAGCATCTGTTCCGCTGCAGCAAAAAAAGAAAACTTAATAAAACTGAGCGGGGTGGAGCGGGAAGCCACCAGGAAGTGTTAATTGATGGCAGCTTTAGGTTATCGCCTTGACGATCGGTCATCTCAAGCAAAGCTCGAGTTGGCGGGGTCAATATGACAGAGTAAACACTGCTCTGACCATTCAAATGCCAGAATGTCATTTTTATTCTGGGTCGAATATTCAATCTCAGACTGAAATTCCAACCTCTGCCAACGGAACTCAAAGCGAGGTGGTCTGAAGGTCACGAGAGTATTCTAGGCATTTCAAGAAGCAGTTTGACACGCAGGTTCCCAAGACATCAATGCGTCAAGGTGTCAAAGCCTGCAGGGGGTTGGTTATTGATGCTAAACCTCAGGACTCAATGGCTGAAATGCAACTGCTCACGCGGGGAGCAATCGATCTAATGTTTTTTGTTCCGGGCGCTTGCTTCCAGGTTCCCCTCCCAAACCTGAGTGGCCATTGGTGCCCAAGACCTGCGTGTCTCAGCAAAAAGGTCCTGGTGAAATGCAAGCAACTCTTGCAAGCATGGAGTAAGGCATGGACGGACATCGATCGCACAATGAAAGCAATCACTTTTATTATCGGCAGACCGATGGCTACCTTGTCCCTACAGCGTAGGTACCTATGTATCAGGTACCAAGCGAGCCATACCAAGGTAAGTATCGGACTGCAAGCTGCAGCTTTACCCATTCTTCCACTGTTTGCTCTTCTGTGCATCTCCTGTTGAGGCCGATTTCCGATTTAAGAATGAGGGGACCTGGGAGCCAAATACGTAGGCCCTGGTTCGTTATGCTAACCTTAAGGACGAATCACCAGACTACAATGTTTTTGTAGTCCCCTGGTGCATTTCTTATGCTTCTCCTCAAGGCGATTGTTGTTTCGATGTGGTCAAGTGAGTTCGCATTTAACCCCACCAGGTAGACTATCGGCTAGCCAAGATTCTGTGTCTTTGAGAGAGCCCCACACAGCCACACAAGGCTGGGGTTAAAGTCCCCAGATCGTAATGTCCAATCAGGTTTCACTCGACACCTTCAATTCCATGGCTGTCTAACAGCCTCGCGTTGCAAGCTGGCCAAGCTGACCCTTTCGCGCCCAGCTTAGCTTCACTGATAGCTTGATAATTGTTATCCACCAACGCATTCGACTTCGACAACTTTTATCATGATATTGCCTACGACTCTCGAATCCGCGAATTAATCTTCATATACCGAATCCTGCCTGTCCTACTCTCCCGGCATGTGGCTCGACCGACTGGCGGGAGGCCCGGCCAGCAGTCCTGGACCCTCTACGCCTCAACCCGGTAGCAGAGTATATCCTAAAAGGACTTCGAGCACTCTGAGCCCATATGTCACATCTCAGCGCCCTGGTATATCTCCACGAGGCTCCTCGCTATCACTCGTTTCCAATGATTCCACCTCCTCACTCCTTTCGTCTTCGCGAAGGCCTAATGGCTCCAACTTGAGGCAGGCCTCAACAATAGACACGGGACCTGATTCTTTGGAGGTGCTAGAGACTTTACTAGCAGGCTTTTCGAGTGACCGCGAACAGGCCGATGAGAAAACTGCCATTAATGAGGACGATATCAACTTCGAGGCTGTATTTGGGGGATTGTCATTAAAGGAGCTTGCCACGTCCGAACCTCCTGATACAACCACAGTCAGCAACCGCAAGCCAAAAACGGCAGAAGAGAGTCCGTTTATCGCAACATATACCCCTTTGACCCTACAATTAACACATCACAGGCGAGAATGATAGAACCAAACTCGAAGATCTTCACCAGTCGATAGAAGCATGTGACGATGTACTCAATTCAGTTGAGATCAACCTTGCCAACTTCCGTAATGACCTTGCCATGGTATCCGCAGACATCGAATCTTTGCAAACCCGATCGGCAGCCTTGAATAGGAGATTGGAAAATCGGAAACAAGTTGAGAAGGCACTGGGGCCTCTGGTAGAAGAGCTAAGCTTACCGCCTGAAGTTATCTCCAAGATCTCTGAGGGGCACATCGATGAGATGTGGGCCAAGATGCTCGCCGAACTGGATCGCAGGTCGACCCAATTCAAAAAGAAGTCCGAAACTCAAACTAGTAATGCGGCAAAGGATCTCGAACCGATTCTTGACAAGCTCACTTTCAAGGTATGTGCATTTTGCTACGCTACTGTCGGGATCTCAACTAACCCCCTAGGCAATCGAGCGCATACGAGACTTCATCGTGGCTCAGATCAAAGCACTGCGATCACCGCATATCAATGCCCAGATCATCCAGCAACAAAGTTTCCTTCGATACAAAGATCTTTACACATTCCTACACAAACATCATCCGACTCTCGCACATGAGATCGCCCTCGCATACATGAACACTATGCGATGGTACTACCTTAATCAGTTTTCCCGGTATGAGAAGGCTCTCGGAAAAATCAAGCTTCACATAATGGACAAAAACGACACTCTTGGCCACGAAGATGCGACCCGCAAGGCTACTGTTCTTTCGAGCAACAGGGCACCAGGCCCTCCTCATGATGCATTCAATCTTGGCCGGCGCATTGATCTCCTGAAAACCAACAACCAAACGGCACTCTCCTCATATCTCGCCGAAGAAGACCAAACAACTCACTACCTGGAAGTGCCCTTCCGCAACTTCAACCTGGCACTTATTGACAATGCCACGGCAGAATATACGTTCATGGCCACATTTTTCTCTCCCGCATTGTCCTACAGCCAGATTTCAAAGAACTTCAACTATGTCTTCGAGGCTACCTTCGAACTCGGCAGAACCCTTTCTAGGACTCTGATAGGGGATACATACGATGCGCTCGGCCTTCTCCTTTGTATCCGGTTGAATCAGCATTTTGCTTTTGAGCTCCAGCGCCGAAAGGTACCTGCTGTGGATGGCTACATCAATGCGACGACCATGCTCCTGTGGCCCCGTCTTCAGGTCATAATGGATCGTCACTGCGATTCTGTGCGCCACCTCAGCAATGCTGTGCCCGCCAAACCGAGCCGCGCCGAAGCTGCTAAACTGTCTGCGGCACCTCATGTTGTGACCCAGCGTTTCGGGCAGCTGTTGCACGGCTTATTAGCCCTCAGCACTGATGCTGGTGATGATGAACCTGTTGTGTCCAGCCTGCGCCGCTTGCGCTCCGAAGTGGAGACCTTTCTTACTCGTCATGCTGAGCTCTTCGGTGACAAGCGTAAGAGTGGGCGCTTCTTTTATAACAACTACTCACTTATCCTCACCATTATCAGCGATGCGAACGGCAAGCTTGCTGATGAGCAGCAGGAGCATTTTGAAGAACTGAAGACTCAGTACCAAGAGACGTCCTAGAAAAGTGTCTCATCTGGATATAAAATTGTTGGGACACAGGAAGGGTAATTCAGGGGAAATTATGGCATTCTCATATCTTCCCTTGGGTGTAACTACGTGTATATTCTTTTGCATGGCGTCTCGGTGAAGGTTATCTGTGGGTCTTGTTGCTAAACAGAGCTTTGAACGAACGAAGTGTTATCTATGCCATTCTAGCGTGAGGTAAATCATTCTATCTGCCAACTTTGACAACAAATATGCCTACCTTGAGCAATCTACCTGAGAAGTTATCTTGTGAGTGGGGACTTTGGTGTCTATCGAGAGAAGATTGAGGCAATGCGATGGACGAGTATTGGATTGCGGCGAAGGTAGAAAGCCAGAGCTCCCACGACAAGAGCCATACCAACGGTCTTGACTGGGCGGCGGTAACGCCAGAGGGCCAACTTGATGTGATCCCGCATTTCTTGCCAATGAAGTTCGTTGACCTGCTTCTCGAAAAGCTCTGAGCCCTCTTCCATGGTCTGTTTCGCACAGGTTTCGATATCTCGGGCTGTCTTTAGAGCACTGAAATTAGAGATGTGTCGCCAGTAGCTGAGAGTCTCAGGAGGATGCTGCCCAAAGAGGGTGGCTGATTTTATGATAAGCTCGTCCAGGTCCATTTTTGTTGGGACCTTGCCCAAAATGACATGCAGCATATCGGGCTCGTCTATCTCAAAGATCTCGTTTCGACGGTCAAGAATGATCTGCGCAAACACGTAGACTGTAAATACAGGCTCACGGGCGAGGAAGACGTCGAACAATCTGGCGATGTCTTGATAGGTCTCGATGTTATGGGCATACATGGTCAGGGTTCCTGCTAAAGCATAGAAGGGTTCAACGTCTGCAAGATGCCGTCGGAGCTTGGGATCAGCAGCATGGAGAATGTCCGGCAGAAGACGGAGTTGAGCAGTTGTTGGCCCAAAACTAGGCAACATAAAGTCCCGTATCCTCAGGACGGACAGGCGCGCGAGAACACGAGCTCTCCATGCGGGTGCCAGCACCAGCAGTAGAACCTGGGAAATGTCGTGATAGCCCTGGAAGTAGCACAGATAAGGGTAACGACGTAGGACCTCGGTGATGAGGGATGAGAGTTCTAACTTGCGGAGTCTCAACTCTGCGTCGGATTGGTCTGGTACTGCATTAGCTCTCACGATGTCTTGGACGTGAGGAGGGATTGAGAAATACTGTCTGGGTAGTAGATGAACGAGCGATTGACATCGAGCTGGACCTGATCCTCGTCTTTATGGCGGGGCAATTGCTTCCACGCGTTGGAATCTTCTTGAGCCAATGCAAGATCAGGATCATCTTTTTCGTCAGAGGAAGCATCGAGGCCTAGTAAGATGGGCCCTGTGAGATGGTGTCAGTCAATGAAACAGGGTGTATACACGGACGGTAACAACGAACATGCTTGTCTTCGCAATGCATCCGACAGGAATCCACCATGAGCTTCAGCAAGTGACCGGAGACGGCTAATGTCTCTCCATGTGCATGCTTCGACGATATCTGCAGCTTTAGCATGAGAGAGCATGTCCGGTTCCTGCGATATCTCCATGCTGGTGTTGGCATTGGCATTGGCATTGGCATTGGCATTGCTGCTGGTGCGACTGAAGGACAAGGGCGATTTATTATCGCTATCCTTCAGACTATCCATGACTGGCTCGATAGACAGAAAAAAGGAATTTGAAATCAGGATGCGATGAAGCGAATCGATGAGAAGGTAAGATAGTATCAGGTGCTTGCCATGACCAAGGTCGAGGGAACCAACCAGCTCAGGAACAAAACAACTGGTTCTTGTTCCCTTGCTAGCTCCTGAAAAGCCTATTGGCCAAATGACTCTTCTGCTGTCTTTGTTGCCGATTATGTTTGTATTGCAAGGGAGTTGTAGTGGGTGATTCGTGTCACTTGCTGGATGAAGATCACCTATAGCAAGCGTAAATAACGGGAGGTATGAGAGTTGCTTTGCTGTTTACCTACTTAGGTAGGACAGTAAAGTTGATCCCTGTTTATGGCCTGAGGTCTGATTGATTCAGATTTGATACAGAGCTACCTACCTACCACCTAGGGGCCATGTATCCACTCCAACCACCCTAGACTTGATCAGTGGCCCCCACGTCCACCACCCAGTTGTTGGTAGCAGCCGTATTTACTTTTAGCACACTTGCTTCTCTATTCTATATTGTTGCTTGAAATCTTTTGTTGGTTTAGCAGTGTGGCTATGACTTGTCATCACCATTTTCTTTCGTTGTGTTTGTACCGTACACGGTTGTTCAGGCTCCAAAGACACAAGACACCATGGGCCGCAACTTACCTCAACGTGCACTGACATATGTCGCCTTTACACCCTGTGACTATGCGCAAACAGACATCAAGCTTCAACCTCGATCCAGGCCAAGCAATGACACAGCGGACTGCTCATTCGATCGATTGTTTTGATAGTCTGGAGATGCAGTTGTCCACAGCCCTTCACTCTTGACCTGAGGGCTACCTTGCTATTCGACCCTTGACCTGGTATCTACATTAATTCCCCGATGGCAGATCTGGTGATGCTGGCGCATGTGTAAATGCTTATTTGTTATGGTCATTTATTGTCTGAGACAGTAAAAGGCAAGTTCTGATTATCAACTAACAAACAGCCGATTTAGACATGGCAATTTTTGTATCATGGTCGCACCTTTGGTAACCAGCTTGCTAATCGTTTCTGTTTACCATGTACAGAGTACGGATAGAGCCATCATTAACAGAGTGAAGATATGCACGGGACAGTCACTCGCTCGCTAGTTAACGTTAGAGCTGGCCCTCGTATGGCCAAATGGATCTGGAAGCCTCCGACAACTTTCTACAAAACATTGTGAGCCACATTTTACAGGGCCAGGACCAACAAACAACTTCTCCTGGAGCTACAGACAAAGGTTGACTCGCGCGATCTGTGGTGGCCTCAAGACCGCTACCTAAACTCGAGTCATCTGCTGTAGTAAGGTAGTTGCCAGCTTGGTGCTTTCCCTAGCTGGAGTGGAGTTGATGATTGAAGTGTCCGGAGTACGGATAGAAGTGCCATGGGGAGAAAATGAAGTGGATCACAAATCCCTGCTCAGATCAGTCCCACTAGTACAGCTTAATGATAAGTTTGGATTTTGAGAGCCGAAAATGACTGACTACTAGACTACCAGACTACCTACCTTAGCCTAAGGTAGCTGGAGAGCAAGAAAGTTTTTAGACATGAAGCTGTCGCGATAAAATAAGCTAGTCTATAAGACCATGAGATTTATGCAAGACTTGTCTGACTATTTTTATCACTCAGAGCATATGGCATGCGTTTTTTTGCTCCCCCAGGCTAGCTAATGACTGATCCCTGAGCGACGACTCCGTAAAAGACCAAGGATTGCTTGTGTTACCTTGCTTTTCAACTCTAAGCTTTCTGCCGCCGATCTCCTTCCCAAGGGGTTGAAATATGCGACAGACTGCGTCGTCTTGGCATACGAATTTTTATTATCCTCATGATAGGAGATATGCGAGTTAGGGTAGCAATTGCAGTTGGTGCTAGAGTGCCACGAGGGAGACTGGCCGCCTTCGAGATGGCAAAAGCCCAAGAATAGCTCGTTCTCGAGATACATTTGAAGGTCCCTGAACGCCGAGGCCTCTCTACCTATCGAACGGCATCAATAAAGAAAAGCACAAAGCCATTTGATCGATTGACTGGCCAAACGTCATTGTGACCGAGTTCGTGCCCACTTGATCCTCAGGCAGCTAATTCAAGTCGGTGTGACAAAAGGGCAGAAGGGCATACATACTCTGTCTCGTGTGAGGATGGTGGTGACAAAAGTAAAGGGACGAAAGCTGAGACACTTGGCTGGTCTAGGCTCGGTCTAATGGCTGCTGGAATTCCCACAGTCGTTCTTCTGAACGATTTAATGGTTTCGGAAACGTCAAGAGCCGGTAAGGATGAGAATGTGAATAGACTATGCCGTTGGCTGAAGTGGAGCGAAGTCTCATGTACTAGACTAGGTTGTCTGCGGTCAGTCCAGCTCAAGAAGCTCAGCTAGAGCTAGCTTCGTCACTAGCCGATCGGTAGGAAATGACAAAGCTGACAAGAAAGATAGTCGAGATAGTGCATCCCCTAAATTACTAGTTATCCGTGATTTCCTACACGTAGGTAGTACGTAATTCGGGTAGCGACTTCCTCTACTAATCGAACTGCAACACAACGCAACACAACGCAATACAACAAAAAAGCCGGTGTGAGTCGACAGCCAACCACATGAGGTGTGGTTGACACCCGTTTGACCTAACAAGAGCCGCTCGAGTTACCGACCCCCTGGTTCTCGGGCGCCTCTTGCTGAGTTTTGGAGTGCTCGAGTGCTCATCAGAACCGAGCTGATGAGCCGTGGCCGACTACCGTGTTGTAATTCTGCTGCATACCAAACTCTCAGGGTCATGCTTCAAGGCTGCTTTCTCAAGAATGTGCGGGTGTCCTATTCAAATAACAGGGATCGGCCGAATCAAGAAGGATTGTTCGAGGATTCTTTACAGCTTCTTGAGATCAAAGCCTCTTCCCTGTGATGTCGGGTATCAGATCGTCATCATTGACGAACATGGTACGTTATGTGCAGGGATCTAGGGTTGAACATATGCTGTATGTACAAAAATGGTTTATTCTTTGGCTGAATCGTACGGAGTAGTCAAGATTGGTTCTGAGAGGGGGATTATCAAGCCCCTGGTGTTGGTTCCATGAAGCAGCCCTCTACTCCGTACTGAGGCGGAAAATTCTTTCCAATCGCAGTGAATGGAGGAGGCTCCAAGCAGCTAAAGTTACCTGTTGGTTGCACACTACGATAGGTACAGACCAAAGCAGGCAGGTACCAAGGTAGGCAAGGCAGGCAGGCAACCATCAGTCGTATCCATCCAAGCCATCCTAGCCATCTTACCTGCCTTGCCAACTCAAGCAGTCAAGGTACTAGAGCTTTCATGGGAGTTACCTGTGGACTACCTGGTCTTTACCAGGGAGGAAATTGGTGTTCCAGGGCAATTCTGAGTAAGATACTGTGGACAGAGTCTTATGATATGCTTGAAGTTGCTGGCCTGGTTGGCATACGCAAGGTACCTAGGGTGAAACCGGGTTGTCCAACGATCATCACTCAAGGCAACTTGCAGCTGAACAAGGATCCATGGCGCGTCAAGCATCAAAATGCACTGCAATTGTTTGAATTTGACCTTTTTAGTGCTGGGGACCATGATTCTTTTGTGTCACTCGTTACACAGACGGAGTCTTGCAGGGACCCGACTGGCGCTAAAAATCTATCCGCCGCTCGAGATCTTACGGCAAAAATGGAAGTGGAGGGCAATCAAGCCAAGTGGAGTGGACCTCGGGCTTCCATATCGCTTCTTAAACTTTGATTCCCGTGGAGCCTCACACGCCTCGCCCCGAGTCTCTCTCTGTCCGTCTCTCTGTCTTACTCTCAGACCAGTCTGATTCTTATATCGAATCCACGCCCATGGTGGCTCTCATTCCAATTCCAACTCCGAGATTGATTCACCGATCCTTGGCTAGAAACGCCAATCACTACGAACAGGGCTTTTGTCTAACACGCTGCCCTGACTTGATCAATAATCGATCCATACTTGGAACAACTCACACCTCATTCTAATCTCCGCGGTGTCTCCAAGCACACACACACACACACACACACACACACACACACACAAACCCCGACAACTCATTGTTTCTCATTTTTCTAAACCTCCCAAACAAGCCTTTCTCGTCTCTTTAGCACCCTCGAGTGTTTGTTTGTCTGGTATCTTTTCGAGCTGAAAGTATCCGCACTTTCGATAAATACTGTATCGCAGATCAAGCCAGCTCACTTAAACCTCCTTGGCATCTCTTCCACCTGGATTCCATCCTTCAGGTAACTATCAGATACAAAAATCCCTTATACCGCAGCTAGCCCGCTGCCTAATAGAGGTTGAGACTTCGATCAAGCTTGTTCATCGACCATCCACCCCCTCTTCCATGACAGTCAGTCTTCTGCAACTGAATCGTCATTGTCGAAACCAAGAAACTGCTATTAGGCGTTAATCAGGCGGCCTCACATTGGCGTTAAACCAGCGCGAATATTTCTCCACTGGACCACGCCAGCATCAACACCAACAGACCAACAGACCAACATTTTACAGCAGCGAGACGCCTGACGCTTGAGTTCGCTCAATGCTTGCTTCCTCGATAATCTGACCTGTCTTACCTAATTGTACTTCGACTCGACATATTAGCCATCACTGAAACGTCACCAATGCCCTGCGTGGTATCCATCGCCTCATCGTTTTGACAGCCTCCTGTAACCACCACTCCCGCCTTTGGGACATCATCCGCCACCTATAGTTCAGTTTCTTATGCCATGAAGCAGACAGAATGGCTTTTCAGAGCAGCGTTCTTAGAGATGGCGAGTGGGTGACGCAGACTGTCAACTTTCAAGATGCTTTGAAAGCTTCTTCCACCACGGCCAAAGCTGCCGAAAATCCAAGTCTCAAGGCACCTGAGTGTGGAATACTCTCTAGGACTGTCATCGAGAGCCCTGTCGTTCATTGGATCCTCCCAGTTTGCTTACGATCGCTGTCTCACAACGATATCGCATTCATTGGCGTAAGTCTGTTGTTTCTTCCACAACCTTCACATCCAAGCCCCATATACTGGCATCATCCCCGGCTGTGGCCATTTAGACTGTGATCAGAGATGCCACGGAATTACACCTTGGGTTACTTGTTCATAAATGTCGGATCATAACTCGATGTTGCTCCTCAAACCCTTGTCTGTATACTGAGTTGTTGCTAACTAGCCCAGGACCGCTTCGTTCAAATCAGCGAACTCCGCGATGATGGACAAGTGCATGAGGTTATACGAAAAGCTGACTTTGGCACACGAATCCGAAATGCGATAGTTCTGGGGGCTCCGCCCAAGAGAGACATCCCTGGCGCAACCGCTGCTGCAACCAAGACCGAAGGTGCTGATGTTCCCATGAAAGATATTGCAGAGGCGAGCGAATGCAAAGAAGCCAAGAAGGCTAGGGAAGCCAGCGAAGCCAAAGAAGCCAAAAAAGCCAAAGAAGCCAAAGAAGC